CTGTTGCCAAACATATAACATGCCAGAAACATAATAATCACAGCAATAATGATCCAGTCATAGACTCTTAAGCATTTGCTAATTTGAATCCAAACAGCAACTTTATTTTTTTAATTTTTTGGCCAGGTAGTGTAAATTGCTTGTTAAAAAAAAGAACTGCTATTACTTTTCTAAGTGTTCAAATGTATGAATTCTGCATGACATGCAATAAAATGACCAAAAAGTCCTTGATATTCTCAGGAACAAGTTTTAGGATAGGCTAATTCAGGCCATAGCAACCACCAAGAAAAGTGAGAGTAGTGTTGTGGTGGTGGCTTATATGAGTAAAATAAATCACACTAGCTTGAAAATTGATAATAATAATAATTATTATTATTTTCTCTCCCCCTTTTTTGTTTGAGTCTGAATATGAGCCAGAGCTGTGTGTGTGTGTGTGTGTGTGTGTGGTGTGTGTGCGTGCGTGTGAATTGCTGGCAAGTTTGTCTGGCTGGGTAGATTTGCCGAGGTGTTGTCTGGATGCCTGTGAGCGACGGTGGTTTCCTGTTTCTCGCAGCCCCATCTGAGATCCCGTGGAAGCACCTGTGTCTCTTCTCGCTCTCCTTACAGCCACAGGAATATACTGAGAGGTCAAGCCCACTGGGACGGGTGAAAATTCCACCATCCCACTCACTTACAGCCTTTCGTGCCCCAGACACAAGAGTTTGCACATCACTAATGAACCTCAGAAGCCATACATCTGCTTTCCCTCTTGCTCCTGGAGAAGTGTACACTATGTGGGAGGGGGAAACGCCAGACAGCTGTATAATTGCCTGTCTAGCTGCACTGGGAGCAGCTTTTATAGGCTAATAAAGTTATCCTTTATAGATATAAACCTGTTTATTATTGCACGAGTCTCCATTGATAAAACTTTCTCTTTCACCTTGCACATGAGTTCGTGTTCTCATACACAAACAAATGGGAAAGTCACCAAAGAGATACATATTGGCAAGACACTAATCTGTCCAGTACGGTTCAAAGAAATCCGTCTGATGTTAGAGCACTGACGTCTTTCATAAAGACCATGTGTGTGAGACTGCACGAAAATGACATTTTCACAAACCACAAAAACAACTGTAATCAGTTAAGAACATTCAGTTTCCATTGCACTAACAAGTCATTTTTTTGTTTATTTTTTGCTGGCCAGTATTAGTTTTCAAATACCTTTGTAGAAATACAATATTCTCACAGGCACATTTGTCTATTCCCCAACTGAAAGTGTCCAATAATGGAGGGTTACCGAGATAAAGTCAGCTGGTCATGTAGTCTCAACATGGCAGATATTATGAGGGGCAACAGAGGGGTAAAGTTTGGCTGGCAGCATGGGTCCGTTTGCGTCTGAAGCTATAACATCACCATCTGGGGACAAAAAAGCACCTATTTTCTGTTGACAAACAAATAATTTGCTGTGTATTCTGAAAGAATATGATTCATTATTTTGAAATGTATTTTAATGTATATATATATAGACATTGTATATAGTATTTTAATTATATGATACATCATGAAAACCTTTACAAAAAGTTTATTCAAGTGTGCTATTACTGCACTTAAACTTTAAACTTAAAATAAGTATACTTTCAGTCTACTTTTTTGTACTTCTCAGAAATATACTTAAAAAATTACACATTATACTTGACTATACTGGCAGAAAACTGGCCTATACTGGCCTATACTCGTACACAATCTTTTGATCGAGATACTTAAAAGTATAATTCAGTAGCCTATTCTAAGTATACTTGGCTTGTAGTTGTGTTTACTCTTTTGATTGAGTAGCCTGTTCTGTTTTTTTTTTTTTCACATAGGCTAGTTTTATAAACTTACATTGTTTGAATTGAAAAATGTGTAGAATTTTTGTGTAGTCCACTGGTAGAGTACATAGGAATTTGCTGTTAAAGGTATATTTCAAGTATAAAAATAATACCTGAATAGGAACATAGTAGTATACTGCAAAAATAATATATAAATAATAAACTGTAAGTATGATGTTAGATCTGCTTAAAAAAAAAACCGTACAAGTATACTTGCAGAATAAAACTACTAAACTAGTATTTTACTGAGTGTATACTTCAAAGTGTACTTTCATAAACTAAAAAATGTGCTACAAGTATTTAACTAGTATACACCATCAGGATACTTATACGTGAACTTGTAGTATAGTTGCAGTACAAACTAAAATTGTAGTTGTTCGAGGTAACATTCGAAGTGGATCAAAAAAGTTATTCAAAGTTGTCCTAAGATAAGAACGGGTATTGTTCAAAATTCATACATAACTTTGATGAAAGGTTTTGATCCACTTCAAATGTTGACTACTGTAGTTGTGTACTCAAAGTTTATACTGTTACACTAAAAGTATACTTAAAAGTATACTTTATACACTAAAAAGTGGGCCAATTTATTCCCAAGTATGTAGTATTGAAAAAGTACACTTACAAGTATACAACTAGTTCATTTATATTAGTTTGACTTTTGTTTTTGTAAGGGTAGCTGTCTTCAGGTAGCCTATTGTAGGTTTAGTGATAAAAACAAGTATCAGGCTGAATCCGAAATCCCCCCTATACCCTCAAATAGGGCCTCATATGAGGGGACAGCCATTTGTAGTGGTGTCTGAAATCATAGTGGACGTTATTGAGTGCACTTTTTTTTTCAATCCCACATTGCACTGCAATAACGAGTGTATACGCTCAACGGCTGTCTGAATTCGCTCACTCCTTTTCATTCACTCCTTCAAGTGAACTGTATTAGTGGACTAACGTAGGGAATAGTGAATGAGGGTTTAGGGGGCGATTTCGGATTCAGTCTCAGTGTTTCCAATTTTGTCCCTTGTTCCTTGTCCACTGTAGGAGATGTTGATGCAATTATATCCTGACATGTGCAAATTACCATTAATAGATCCAGAGGGCCATCGATGATTCAAACAATGACTTAAGTTCAATAAATCAAAATAAAAGTGAATTGCAACGAAACACAAACAACTTATATAGCTTGCAAGATTGTTACACCATGCCATCTTGGCTCCATGTGCACAGTCAAAAGAAGACTGTATGCTCTTACACCAGCGCCCCCCTCCTGTCAGGGGTGGCATACTCAGAAAAATAAACAACATTAACAAAATATATTAAACAAAATGGTATTTAAATGAACACATTTTCTACAAATTAAACAAGATTGTAAGTATGGCTCCTACAATAGGCGTCGATTGTGGGTGGAATAAAACAACGTATTAGACCAACACTTATTCAGGAAAAACTAAATACTTATGCCCCTTTGAATTGTAGTTGTTTCCTTAGTAAATGGAAAAATTGTGAATTTGTGTCTCGATCACACGCATACACACACACACACACAGACATGCAAGCCACCAAGTAGAACAGGGCAGAGAGTGTTGGGTTACATTCCTTCCATCGGGGCTGAGGGATGGCTAGGCAGGTCACTCTTTTCAGTCCCAGGAACTTGGGAGGAGAGAACGTCCTTTCTGAGCATCAATAAAATTTTGCATGCACATGTATATTTGTGTATGAGCGCAAGTCTGTGCATGTGAGTGTATGATTGTGGTTAAACTGTGGGCCTCACAGGCAGAACCTCCTCCCAGTTCTGTACTGGGTCTAGTTTGAGTCAGAATTCCTCAGACTTTTGGAAATTCCCAAAGGTCTTAGGGACGGGAGCAGGCTGGTCACAGCGTTGTGGGGGTCTGCAGAGTTTGGCAAGTCCCAGTGATTCTCCAGCTCTGGGTACAGGCCCTTGGGCTGACCCTGCCTACACATACACACCCATTTGCTTCCTTTTCATTTGAGCCCTGCTTTACACTAGATAGATAGATAGATAGATAGATAGATAGATAGATAGATAGATAGATAGATAGATAGATAGATAGATAGATAGATAGATAGATAGATAGATAGATAGATAGATAGATAGATAGATAGATAGATAGATAGATAGATAGATAGATAGATAGATAGATAGATAGATAGATCACTTTCCTTTCTTCTTGAATAAATCCTTTTTCGACTGCAGAAAAGAACTGGCAGATGCTGGCAATCTGGGTCTGGTTGACTGCAAACTCCCTCAGGAACACTAAGTCACCCACCTTGGCAAAGATGACGTTCATACTTGCCATGTCTCTGGCTAGAAGGCATGAGTGACTTGTATCCTGTCTGTCAGTGCTCTTCAGTCTGGTCTTGCAGAACCAATTCAATTCTATCACAAATAGACATTTTAAATGTTTTTGTTCAAATCAAATCATATAGATTTATGCAAATTCACCACCAATTTGTCAAAGCGGGTAAAATACATTTTCTCGCAACGTTTTTCTTGATATTTTGATATAAATGATGCCAAAGGAGAGAAGTTGTCGTATTCATATCAGTGGTTTGGCTGTTGTTGTAAAGTCACATGGCAATGCCAACATGGCTTACATCATACTCTGATATGCAAATTCCGACGCATCTTATCATTAATGCATCAACTATATTAGATAAACCCGCTCCCTAATTGGCATGTAAAAACAAAGGTGGGGCTTAATTAGAATAAGCTTCAAACAAAGTAGACTAAACCTTTATTTTGATAATCAATAATTCTGGCTATACAAGGTGATAGCATAACATCATGTTCAAAACATTTTTACATTAAGTAATCTAATCATGCCATGCTCCCAGATCCCAAATGTTATGGAATATTTATTGTGTAAATGAAACACTAGTTAGCTTGTTTTTCTTTTGTTTACTCTCCCCCTGGTGGTTAAAATAGTCCATTACAATTTCATCTCAGAATTCCAAGTCATATTAATATCCAAAATGTCACTGCACCAATACGAGTCAGATTTAGGAACATTTTATGCTTGTCATTATTATGTCAACAGTACTACATTAATTAGTTTTATTTTACAATTGACACTGACAGTAACAGGTCAGTGTGGGCTTCATCATGTAAGTGGCTAGGTGAGAGGTGTGACTGCTCTGTGATGTCACATTAGATTGCAGTGAAAAGGCATGGTTCGGTTAAGACGGGGGTCAAACCTCAATCCTGCCTGCAGCCCAGAGAGAGTTTGAAATGGACTCAGACAAACCTCAGCAACAGTTCTCTGAAAATTACTCTGAGGTCACGGTTAGCTCAAGCGCAGGTAAGAATATTACATTTAATAGGCCTACAGAAATAATCTAGTGTTATACATGATCGAGATATGAAAAATATTTACACTTTAGTCTTTTAGCAGGTGCTTTTATCTAAAGCAACTTACAAATAAAGAACATTGCAAGCAATTTATCATACTGCAATAGCAACTTTCAAGACTAAACGAGAGTACAGAGCTAGAGCACATCTAAAAGTAAAAGAGAAAATAGAACAGCAAGTGTTCAAAAAGTTTTTTTTTTTTTTTTATTTGTAAGGATAATATCAAAATAATGTTTATGCCAGCATTGCTGGATTGTTTAGTCTTGAGGTTTTTATTTTACTTTATTTTATTTTATTTTCACTCCCAAGGTGGCTGTAATAAAACCTAACATGAATTTCCTAATCTATTTTTTGTCATATTGTCATTAAAGAAAACAGTGGGAGTCATTTGAACAATTGAAATTCAGATGCACAAAAATGTTAATGCTGAAAATATAAAATGCATTGAAAATATTATATTAAATTAGAAAAAGGTGAAATAGAAGTATTTTCATCTGTCGTCTCAGACTCCAGATCCCATGTTTCAGTCATTTTTTTGGAGCTGTATTTTCATAATCCATTTGGTACAGTGTGACGCTCGAACATCCTACCAATTCCAACCGTCCACACTAAAGTGAATAGCTCCTGAAAACCAAGAGTCCCACAATTTGACAAATTAGTCACTTTTTCGGCCATTGTTTGCTTAAGCTGAGTGTAATCCTCAGGGCTCTGGCATGCCGCTCTCTCACGATATTGAGTTTAGGTGGCAAAGCCCTCTGTCTTTTGAGTTCCTGGACGTTTGTTTAGAAGCATTAAAGCTCTTAAATCCTCCGTCTTCAGTGAACATCATTTGAGAGAAGAGTACCTCCAAATCCAACATCTCAGAGGTGTCAGTGGTTGATGAACTCTCACTGTCAATAGGAAATTGCCTGTAACCAGAGAGAGAGACCTGAGTCAAGACTCTTTCTGTTTGGAAGTTACAAAGTCTTTCAAATCTTAGAAATCTTTAGGAGTGACAAAGAAGTCTACTCATAATGAATTCACCTCCTTGAATTTCACCTTATTGGATGCAGATGTTCAAAATCACCCAAGAAAAGATTCTGGGACATCTGAGAGCACCAGGGGTGGCGGAGGACGAGCAAGGCCGTACCCTTCACCGTCCCGCAGGAGACACCGAACTACCTTCAGCAGTGAGCAGCTGGAACAGCTGGAGTTAGCTTTCAGACAGAACCACTATCCTGATATCTACTTTAGAGAGGAGCTTGCGAGAGCAACCAAACTCAACGAGGCTCGAATACAGGTAACTGACCTATTTGCTATTATAACTGAATAGATATAGTTACATGTAACTGAAATAAATGTTCCTAGTTTTATGTTCACACTAATAGTGATTTACAGAACAGCAAAATATGTGGATTGAAAACTAGCTGTGATAGCATTGAGTGACAGTTTGGTTTCTGTTTCAACTGCTTCATAATGCTCGTCGCATTTGTTTCAAATTCTGGTGCCAGATTCATGGAAATCTTCTTCAAGACATAGTTCGCCCAAAAACATAAATTCTGTCATTACTTACTCACCCTCATGTCGTTCCAAACCGGTAAGACTTTCGTTCATCTTCGGAACACAAATGAAGATTTTTTTGATGAAATCTGAGAGTTTTCTGTCCCTCCATTGACAGCTACTCTACTACCACTTTGACCACAATGAGGTTCATTCTCGTGTGTTACGCATCATGTTTGAGCTTCAGCAAGAACCAATGAGGTTCATTCTCGTGTGTCAAGCAGGTTCGGTTGAGCTTCTGTTTATGCTCGCTGATCAATGTTTATATGTGCATAAAAGCTTATGTGAATAGTGAATTAAATCTGTTCATCATATAAAGCGATTAAGTCTATTGATAAATGTTTGGACTAAACCGCTCAATCCATATAGATTACTTTTACGATCTCTTTATGACCTTTTTGAAGTGTCAATGTGGTAGTTGTGTAGCGGTCAATGAAGGGGCAGAAAGCTCTCAGATTTCATGAAAAAAAATCTTCATTTGTGTTCTGAAGAGGAGGGTGAGTAAATGATGACAGAATTTTCATTTTGGGGTGAACTATCCCTTTAAGAAAGAAGATATTTCTTGAGATCAATTAAAAAAAGTTTGTAAGAAAGTTCCAACTCTTATACCTTTTTAAGAAGTTCGCAAAAATATTTTCTTAAGAACATCTTATTTCTCTCTTAAGAAGAAAATGACTTTGGAGTTGGTTTTACTCAATATCACATTTTTATTACACTGTGTTTTAAATAGTTCAATTGTGCTGAAATCTGCTGAGAAATGTGTCGTAATTATAATGTAAAAAACACAAACCCTATTTAAGTTGATTTTGTAGAGTTGTTACTAAATTCCAAATTTAGCATAAATTCACTTCACTCATAATAATAATGGATCATTGTTTGTTTACATTATCTATCATTGGTGTAATTTCAGAGTACTTGTGCAAATTCCTTGCAATATATATTGTGTTGTAATGTTTAATTATTTAAACAACCCAAAAAATTAATTAAACATAATTTTTTTGAGGTTATCCAAACTTTAAGAGGTTATTTACAATTAATTTTTTTTTAAAAAGAACACAAATTATTCTAAAGTTTTGTCTTTAGAACAATCTTAAGACAAATTAACATCCTTAAGTGATATTTTTGGAATACACAATATTCTTAACCTTATTCTTGAAGTCACCTTGAAATTAAAATATAGACAATAATTTTTTTATGAAATATTGCAGTATTTGTTATAACTGATTTAATTTATATGATTTTTAAATATATATTGTGTTGTAATGTTTAATTATTTAAACAACCCAAAAAATTAATTAAACATAATTTTTTTGAGGTTATCCAAACTTTAAGAGGTTATTTACAATGATTTTTTTTTTTTTTAAAAGAACACAAATTATTCTAAAGTTTTGTCTTTAGAACAATCTTAAGACAAATTAACATCCTTAAGTGATATTTTTGGAATACACAATATTCTTAACCTTATTCTTGAAGTCACCTTGAAATTAAAATATAGACAATAATTTTTTAATGAAATATTGCAGTATTTGTTATAACTGATTTATCCGTGACCATGCACATAGTTTCTAATGTTTATTTATTTATTTATTTTTTACTTTATTCAAGTGCCCTTGTAATATGTAATTGTATAACGGTTTCATTCTGTTTTGGTTTTGTTTGCTCTGTTTCTATTGGCATTTAGATGCATTTAGTTCTTGGCCACTATCTATTATACTGTATATGGAAGACTTTTTATCTCACAATTCTGACTTTTTATCTCATATTTGTGTGATATAAAATCACAAATGCGATTTATAAAGTCAGAATTGTGAGATATAAACTAGTAATTGCGAGCAAAAAAGTCAGAATTGCATGTATCTTGCAATTCTGACGTTATAACACGCAATTGGAAGATATGACGTCAGAATTGCGTGATATAAAGTTGCAATTGCGTGTTTTAAAGTCAGAATTGTGAGATATAAACTCGTAATTGCAAGCAAAAAGGACAGAATTGCGAGTTTCTCGCAATTCTGACTTTATAACACGCAATTGTGAGTTTATATCTTACAATTCTGACTTTATAACACGCAATTGTGAGTTTATATCTCACAATTCTGACTTTATATCTCGCAAGTCAGAATTGCGAGATGTAAACTCACAACTGTGAGATAAAAAGTCGCAATTATCTTTTAAAATGTTTTATTCTGTGGCTGAAACAAGCTTCCATAATTATAAAATAATGATATATTAGTGATTTAATATGTTGCTAAAGAACATTATCTTTCGAATGGCAACATGGTGTAGTTACAGCATCTTCAGCTAATCTTCCATGTTACCCAGCCAAACCTCGACTCCCTGGTCTGATTACTCTAGCTGACTGAGCTAAACCTGCCTGCTTTTCACTCCCTGCTGCAGGTATGGTTCCAGAACCGTCGTGCAAAGCAGCGGAAGCAGGATCGTATCACCCAGAAAGTGCTGCCGGTGGGCATAATGCCAGGGCGAGGTTCTCTCTTTAGCAGTATGTGTGTGTCTTCCTCTGCCATGGGGCGGCAGTACCAGTGCCCCCATTCCCTGCCACACATCCCCCGATTCCCTTCAGTGCTGCCCCCTGGAGGCTTCCCACCCCATCCGTCCTCCAGCAGTCATTTCTCCTGCCCCTCCGGCCCTGCTCCATCACAAGCCAGCAGACAGCCAGACGACTGGTACAATCAGCTGCGCAACATCGGACCATCCGCTACTTCAGTGCTCTCACTGGCCTCTGTGTCGGCGCTGGAAACCACTAGTCACTGGAACTAGAGGAAGTGCTGCTGGGTTATTCAGTAGTCGTAAACTCTTTTGGTTTCCCTTATTTTGATGGTCCCTTCAACACATTCTGTTGATTATTATAAGTAACGCTGCCTCTACATGTCTATCTCTCAATAGAGTGTTAGTAGACTGGTAGGGTTAGGGTTAGAATAAGTAGACATGTAGTTGCAAAGTTACTTATAGTAAGAGAATGTCTGTCGGAGGAGCATCACAATAAAGAGTTAGCAGATATAGAGCAGACAGTCTACTAATACTCTAATGAGAGTTAGCCGACATGTAGTTGCAAAGCTACATAGTCGACAGAATGTTCAAAAGGGACCATCAAAATAAAGTGTTACCATTCTTTTATCTTTCCTTTTGTATAAGAAGCTACAGAACAAATAAAGTTTTTTTTTTTTCAATGACAAAGCAAGATCGACATTTTCTGTCTTTATTATTTGCAATCACACGTAACATATTTTCTCTCAATTATTGCTATATCTCCAAAAATAACTACATTTATATTGATTTCCTTTATCAATACTAAACTGTGACAATTAAACTAGGTTCTGTTTACACTGTAGACTTTAAATAAGGATCATTATGAACATGTCATTCTCATCTCATATGAAATGTACAATAGACCCTATGAGCTTTTAAATGACATTTCTATTCAGTCAATAACGATTTACAGATTTGGTAGAAATAAATTACACATGGTTTATGTCAAATGCTGTTCTTCTTGCCATTTTATGTACAGTATGTAAAATAAACAGACATGGGTCAATGACAATCTTTGAAATATTTTGTTGAAAACATACGTGCCAAGGTCTTAGAAATGTGCTCTTTTTTGCTGGTTACAAACTTTTCTCCTACTGTATTATCAAGAAAGCTTTTTTTCTGCATTTTGGTTGAACCAAACAACTGATTTGGCAGACAAAAAATAATAATAAACAGTTTTGTAAGAAACATGTTTTTCTAGGGAATATTGTACCAAACTACTTAAAGTTTTCTTCCCAATAATTTCATTATTTTAATAACGAGGCTTTCTTCTTCATTATCATATTGGGGTAATTGTATCACAAATGCTTTTTTTTAAATGTATGCCTCCAAAAATATCAAAATGATTGTTCATTATGGAAGAAGTGCATTAAAGTCACTAGTATAAGGATTTAACTGTGTTTCTGAATAACTTAATAGATCATAACAAAAACAGCATCATGTCATTGACCCATATGACATTTTGTGTACATTCAGACTCTATAGGAAGCTGAAAATCAGTTCACCCTGATGTTTTAGTGGACACAAGTTCTATTTCTGTTCTAGAAATGGACAACTTCATCAAACAGATGGTAGCTGTTAAATCCAACCAAAGTAGCATTAGCTCTACAGCGGGATTCATCCAGGTCCGAACAAGCATTTTGCACATTTCAATGCAAATCTAGGTCAACCCAAATCTACATCTACGTTAGATGTTCTGTGCTCAACATGTGAAAGTTCTGTCCTTTCAGATCGTTTTGAATGGGTATTTTTATAATGACAGTAACAGTGATAATCCCTTTAAGGCAGAAAGAGTGCATGTTTGCCATCATTCATCAGCAGAGCAGCGATTACATCCCACTTTAGCTTCATTTAACCATCAGCTTTGCAGAAGAGTGTCACTGCAAAGTATTTATTCAATAATAACAATATATGCTTGTTCATAGCTAATCAATTTGGCAGTTTATACATCAAGGGCCCATTCTGATAAGAGATGCAGATGTGAGTGCAACAATGAATTAATGTTACACAGATGGCATAAACACAAAACATCTCACGTCACTACATGCCCCTCACGATGTCATTGTACGACATATTTTATACTGGTTATACTAAAGCATGAATATACAGCGCCTGTGAAATCGCAGGCACGCAAGAAAGGAATGTGCTGGAGATTTGTACATCAGAGGTAATCTGCATTCACAGTAAGGCCACGGTTGTTCCCGTCGTCTTTTACTCCAGAGACCTCGCAAACTCTGCATAGTCAATGTAGCCATCGTTGTTTTTGTCATCGTCTCGGAGGACGTCATCAATGAGAATGATGAGATCCTCTTCCTTCATTGGCTGGCTATCTTCTCCTCTTTCCTGGAAACCAAAGCCAAATTTATAATCGTTATATAAATTGTTATAATAGTTTCAAAAAGTTGAAAGAACTTGTTAGGGGCATGAAACAGCTTTTAGAGCTAGGTAAGTGCCTGTGACCAACATAATCCAAACTGAATTTAATTAATACATCGACTTAACTGTTTTATATATATAGAAATATAGTTATGTGTTTGCGCAGGTGATATCAGGAAGCAACGTAATACACACATGACGACAGGAAGGTGACGGCGGTGCGTAAATCGAGTTACCCCTCCCACTTCTTGCTGGTTTAACTGAGATATCTTATCCCATGCAAATTGGCCAATATTATTACAGGTGTCTGTGGTAAACACATATTACTCCATCGACCCTTGTAAAACTAATCCCGTCCGAATAGTGCTAATGGTTCAACGACTCACTCATAAAGACTTCCCTCGTTTCATTACTGATGAATTGGCATTTTTGAACAAATCTCTTGAATCAATGATTCAATGGTGGCAAATACATTTTTTAACAGGCACTTGTCGCCACCTAGTCGATGCAATAGTTATTTGAAGTGTCAAGCTACTTTCAAAAGGGGATCTGCTCTATTTTGATCACAACTGTAGACTGAACTATAAACTTTTATCCCAGTACTTCTGTGATAATCTGAATTATTGTATGTCAGAAATAACAATACTACCGGTATGAAGTTGAAAAGACTGTTTGTGAAGCTGTTTTATACCTATACATCACAATTTCTCTCTCTGGGTCAGCGCCAACACAGATTTTAATGTTCCAGTGTGATTTAGTCAAATGTTTAATAGACATAACCAAATCGTTGTCATTTAGGAATAAAATTGTGTGGGTGTTTGAATCGAGATCGCAATCTTTAAACGATTAATCGTGCAGCTCTAAGTAGGTGGTGTCCAAACTTTGAACCGATACAGTCAAAGCTCAACATTAGAGCACACACCTCTCTGTGCACATGAGTAATGGCAGTGGCAAGCTCAAGTCCATCCAGCAGATTGTTGCCATCATAGTCGTGCATCTTGAAATAGTGAAGCTGCAGCTCTTGAGGTGTCATGTCCGACTCCGGCTTTTCAATCACCCCTTCTAAATGCTCCATAATGTGGCTACAGCAGAACAGAAGAAAGGTTAGATTACAGACGGAATAATATTAGCCAGAGGTGGATTGGTATTTGGCCAATTTAAGATGATCAGCATCAGTCGATAACTGTAACCTTTGGTTGATCAAAGTCACGATAAAACTGAAGTTGCAACACATATTTTCTTTCGTATTGTGTTGTATATCCAAGTGAAATTGATTATCAAACAAAAAAAACCGGTTCTGTGCATTAGTTGTTGATTGGGTTTTGAGACGTGGCTGTTACACTCAAACATGGAGGCTTGCAGGGCGGGTTTGATTTGACTAAATTATAGGAGAATTCTGCTGTCACTAGAGAAAGGTCTGACATTTAACGGATGGTCCAGCTATGACAAGGTAATAAAGAATATAAGCACGGATTAATTATTCACAATACGATCTATATGATGCATTAAAGGGGTCATATAATGGTACATGCACTTTTACAAGGTGATTGTACTGAAATGTGTGTTGGCAGTGTCTGAACACAACCATTATATAATGATAAAAATCCATCCAGTGGTTTTGTTTTAATCTCCTTATATGTTTTCCCCTGCCTCAAATCGAGCCGTTCGAGCCTGTGACGTCACAAGCTCGCACGCCCCTCCCACGATTGTTGATTGACAGGAGCGTTTCAACACAGACCCGCCCTCGCTCGTGAGGGAGCTGTCAATCATAGTCTCCGTGGCGCGGACCGGCGCGGTCATTGTTGATATGCTGGAGCACTGTCTATGAGCAGAATGGCGTCTAAGCGATTGTGGTGTTCTGTTCTTGGGTGTAATAACGAACACAGCAGTCATTTTAATGTTCCTAAATCCGAACCGCTGAAGACGCAGTGGCTGTGTTTGTTTTCGAAGGGAATATTCCCCACGAGCAACGTCAATGCTCTCATGTTTGCGCGAATCATTTCACACACCAGACTGCTTTATAAACGAGGATCAGTATAAAGCTGGATTTGCTAAGAAGCTGCTCATGACAAAAGGATCGGTACCAGATATTCGTGTTCCTGCTGAATCTCCAGAAGAACGGAAGTGAGTGTAACGTTTTATTAAACTTTATATTAATCTTTGCAAATCGCTAGCTGCACGCTTCACAATGAATGCGTCTAAGGTTTACACTTAGGGTACATTACAGCATGTTTTCTATGTATGACGTTCTCAATATAATTCATAATCCCACGTTTATACTGAACAACGCGTTATGGTTATTGTGTTATTGAGTTACAAATGGTGTACGCACAAACAGAGAGGCGGGGTGAGCAAAGCTCATTATCATTTAAAGTCATATGCACTGAAACGGCGTGCTGAAAACAGAGCTGTTTTTGACCAGGTAAAATAAGTGTTTTCTTACAATACTAATGAGAATTTTTAATTAAAGTATATTACAAACTTTTAATTTAGACCCTAAAGAATCCTATTAGCTTGTACAAAAATGGCATTATATGACCCCTTTAAGAAAAATAGATAGGGTAAACTTTCATTCTATAGATAAATCTACTGACATCCTTTATATACCGTTATATATCCAACTAGGGCCAAAAAGTCTAAGGGCCTATTTCTATTTTACACAATATTTCTTTATTTCTAATGCTCACCAAGGCTGCATTTATTTGATAAAAAAACAATACAATAAAAACAGTTATATTGTGCAATATTATTACAATTTAAAAAAAAAAAAAATATATATAATAATTTTAAAGGAGTCATGAAGTACAATTTCGTAAAATGTTATAATGTTCTCTGAGGTCCACTTACAATGTCAGCAAGATTTTTACATTAAAAAAAAACCCATCTTAATTTAAAAGTAATAAGCCATTTTCTATCTTGTTTTTGACCCTCTTTCCAACACTTCATTTTGATCGGCATGTCACATTCAAGACTTGGAAGTAAACGGCCACTGCTATGAGTTTTGTATGTTAAAATAATTTTCAACGTCCCGCCATTACACGTGTGGAATTGTTTTGAAAACTTCCGATGTTGAATTGATGCAACCGGTGAAATTCAACCATACATGTTTGAGCCAGAGTCTGATCCCAAATCAGAAGACAACGAACCTACACCTCAAAAACCAAGGATAGTCCAGCATGGTAATTAATCATCTTTATTTATATTTATTCCTTATGTTTTATAAGGTACTTTATGTTAGTGTTTAAACAAAGACAATACAAAAAGATGTTTATCTCGTAACATAGTTAAAACATTTGCCAACTGTGAAGCATTTATGCATATTACATATGCTTTGCAAATCTTGGTTGTGGCAAATAGAGTTGAGGTACCAGTAATTTTAGTTGACAAAGGATAATTTATGGTGTTTCTGTTTGGTGTAAATGAATTATGAATTAATAAATGTATCATTGTTTGTCACACTGTCGTTCTTATATTCATTATTTTCAGTGAAGTGAAAGTAAAGTGAGTCCATATCAAACGATCTGTTTCAGAAAAAGCAATAGTGACACAAGTTAAAAATACTGTTACTCACTCCTGTGTGTTGTGAGTGCGACATTACTCTCGGATCAACTGTATTCGGAACTGCATCATCTTTTATTTATTCTCTCTCTCTCTCTCTCTCTCTCTCTCTCTCTCTCTCTCTCTCTCTCTCTCTCTCTCTCTCTCTCTCTCTCTCTCTCTCTCTCTCTCTCTCTCTCTCATACATATATATATATATATATATATATATCCTAAACATTTTGGAGGATAGTGTTCATTCACAGTTTCCACAAAAAAACTAAGCAGCAAACATTGATTTCAACATTACCCGTTAACCGTTAGCTACAGAACATGCAACTAGAATTTAAAAAATAATAATAATAATATTAATAATGTATTAGTTACTATTAAATTAGTAAAGAGAAATAATATTAAGATGAGTTTTGTGGATTGATTAAGTATGACCTTTGTTTTCCTGACATATTATTCGCAGAAAGATAGACAGGCAGAGATCAGGACAGACTGATCCAGTGCAGAGGTCATTTGGCAGAGAGAATCCACTCAAAATCAACAAACGGTATAAAAATGCATTTCACTAGAACGGTTTCACTAAATGTGGATACATACATAGGCTGTATAAATGAGTATAGTGAGTATAAATGTACTCACTCCTTATCCTGAACCATGTTCCTGTCCAGCCGGATGATTGGCGGGGGCTCTTGATTTGAAGCAGCTGGTTCTCCATGCTGTCCTCCATGAGCCCATATAGACAGCGTACAGCTGGAGCAGAGCAGGAACCAGCTCCATAATCTGAGCTGCCCAGACCTCTCTTTCAATCTCATTACACTGAAATCACAAGGTAATAAGAGTTCATGCGAGAAAAGAATGACAGCTCCATTCATACTAAAGCTGGAGCAGCCCTTACTGACAAGCATTTGACCAATGAGCAACACACATTTCAAGAGACGTCATTATAAGATTACACAGAATATGTATAATGAAAAAGCAGTATAAATCTGAGAAATGGGCTTATGTGGCTGACATATGGATGAACTTGAAAAATGAGGAACCAAAACAGATGGTGGAGGAAAGTAATGACATCAATACTAGCAGAATACGGAATATAATCTATGCTGAAACGTGGAAAATGAAAGAAAAAAAAGATAGATATGAATATTGAAACATTACAGGAAGAGCAGTCTAGACACTCAAACAGCAGTTGCATACAGTACGTTGCCCAGTCATCTGAACGCTTTTCTGCGTCTCTCTTGATACACCTTACAGAAATATAACAACACACACATGCAAATTTACTCACCTGCTATGAATCACAGTTAACGGGTAAATATTCGTCCTATTAATTCAGGCACAGTGGAGTAACTGAAGTCCTGCTGATGTTTACTCAGCACCGTTCTTTCTGACTGCTTTTGCTTGCCGTAGTTGCCTTTCACCCCATGGACACGACAGCTAAACTCTGATTGGACCTTCGTTTACTGTCTATGGATTGGACACGGTAGCTTTTACAATGTTTTATTTTATGTAGACACGGTAAAAAAAATACACAATACAGGATGTAGGATGGAATAAAAACTATATAAAACTATGCACTATATAAAAATATACACGACATTTTTCCTTGGTAATAAAAACTTTAAAATACGACTTGCTCTTATATTTATGTATAAAATATTTAGCCAAAAGCTAATTTAGAATAGAATCTTCTTTTTTACAAACTAAAAAGCAAAATTTCAAAGAATAAGAAAATATCTCGAATTCTAGTGACTCTTGGTAAATGCTGATGGAGAATTTAATTTAATTTAATAATTTGACGAGTCACTTTGTTTACATAATTGCATTCTCGTTTAAAACAGATATCAGGAATAATAAATGAGAAATTATGCAGAATCTTTTTCTTTCTTTTTTTCAGGACACGACAGCTGCACGCTGATTGGATTTGTGTGAAACGTCATAATAAGGCCGCGCGCGCACTGGACCGTTAATCCACACGCAGCAGCAAAGCGGAGGAATGAATGAGCGCATCTATAAGTTATCTCAGGGATGATGATTTTGTGCCTGGTTAATCAATCACCACGGTCAGCTGCATGGCAAACCTCTACAAAGAAAATGAGAGGGCCAAATCTATTTTCCGACAGCTGGAGGTTCGGTTTATTACATTCTTGGTGTCGTAGAAATGTGATTTTTAGAATAGCCAGTAGACATGCTTGATGTTTCCTAGCAACTTGACGAGTAACTGTTAGCCTACTCTATGTAGATTTGTAATGGATATATTATTGGCAGTCGATTAATGATTACTTTATTATTAGTTTTTGAGTTTTTAAAAGACCAAATTTGATAGCTGTAAATATGACGCTTTATTTTATGAAATACCAAATAACTGACTTTAAATGTGTTTTTCGGAATACTACACATTATTGTCTGTCTCTACTACCCCCACAATATATCGCTTAATCATTTCACAATACAGATCACAGCTGTTTCTTCAGGCTCTTTAAAAACAAAACAAACGTGAAAAGGTCCGAGTAGAGAGAGGACCGCCCTTATATTAGTAACTTAGCCATTCAGAAACACTCTTCGTCTGTCAATCATTTTACACGCTGACGTCGGTCATTTCTAATATGTTTTCCTCGAAAAGAAATACTTTAGAATTAAAAATTGCAGATATATCTGCTAATGGTTCATTTTGTCGACGTTCAGTCTGCAGCATAGATGACCTCAAATCTAGCAGATTGTGGGTGTACATTAAACGCTCAATCAAAACTGTCAAGCACAGGTTATTTTAAATCGCCCGCTAGATGGCGCCACTGTCTCAGGACAGGTGTCTCATTTTATTGCCATTTGCATTCTGTGGTAGGTGCTTTGCATCAAATTAGGAAGTATTTTCATCTAAACAGACTCCTAAACAGCATCCGAAATCGCATACTTCCCTACTGTATAGTAGATGAAAAACAATATGTGCCAAAAAGAGTATGTCGGAAATCACTGTACAAAAAAAGTAGGCAAAAGTAACCGGGTGACCTACTACTTCTGGTGAGATTCTGAAATGTGTATTTTATTGACACTTCCCATGTCCCTTCCCATCCCATGTGACCATGTGAGAGGATTTGTAAATGGCAGTAAAGCGACACAACTGACGCTGGTATCACATGATAATGACAGCATGGCGAATGTAGTATGTCTGGATTACATTCACACTACACACACTTTTAAGTGGCCGAGAAGTAGGCTATATACTTTTTCAAAATAAGTACCTACTCAAGAGAGTATGCAATTTCGGACGCAGCCATTGTCTCATTCCAGACTATATGATGGAAGCAGCTCCCTCTCTGGATCTGATAGGCCTAATTCAATTACAACAAGCCCTGCAAATAGTTAACAAGATTTAATCGGTTAAATAGATTTAGTCATCTAGCAGTGAAGGGATTTCAGGGAAATAGGACGTAGCTGTCAAGGACAAGGCTTTGCTTCAGAAAGAAGACATGTTAAACCACGTTTATGGTCTTAGCAGACTCTTAACACATTCCTGTTGGCCCACATGATGTTGCAGCCCATTAAATGGTGTTTGCTGTCTTAATATGCACAAAGGCTATTATTACTCTGTCAGAAAATGTTACTTTAATGTGTCTTCTTTCTTTTTAAGTCTATTACATTTTATCATGGTAACTGTTTTAGTAAAAGATGGTTCTTATCCACTAATCAGCTACCAGTTGGCCATACAGCTTAAAGGGATAATTCACTCCAAAATGAATTTTCTTTCATCATTTACTCACCCTCATATTGGTCATTGTTGTGACTGTAAGATATTTTAAGAATGTCTCTGTGTATTAGTTTTTGATTCATACAGTGGACCCTTTTCACCAACAGTGATAACGCATTTCCAGAGCAACATCGCAAATCTAGAACAGTTTTACATATTTTTAAAAATGTATATATTATTTATAATGCTACAGTATACGCTGCTGCTTGAGTGTTTCGAATTGTCACGTTTCATGGATCCACTGTCTCATTCTGATATGTTGTGTGTGTGTGTATGTGTGTCTGTGTGGGCGTGGTTACTAATTCCCGGTTGATTGTGTGCACCAGCTGCAAGCCCTTACCAGTTGCTTTATATGCCCAGTAATTCCCATCTCACATTGTCAGATCGTTGTGGCTTTCCCGGTGTCGTGTTCCTGTTCCTGTGTGGTCTTCGCTTCTCCTCGTGTGTTCCAGTCTTCGTGGGTCTTCGTCGTTGTTCCCGGTCTGGATTGTTTATTGTTCCTGGTTGATCACTCCGTCTTCATCTCCACGAGACTCCGGTTTGCCCATCGACGTCCCTGTTGTCACAGTTCCATCTGAGTGTTTGTCCCCGACCTGTGTTTTTCCTGTGACTTGTCTGACCAACTAATAAACCAACTTTTACTTGCATTTGTATCCGATTCGTTCGTCATAGAACGATCTGACCAGACATGGATGCAGCAAGTTCGGCCAGTTTGAGCGAGTTCATCGCACACAGCGTGACGAGAATGGATCAACAAGGAGAAGAGATCGCGAACACAGGTCGCGCGGTTCAAGCACTCGTGACACAGGTGTCCGAGCTCACCCAACAGCTTCAACATCTACGCGCGCCCACTGCGCCGCCCACGCCGCCCGTTCCCCCCCCACCACCCCAGCCAGAGAATCAACCTGAACCTCGCCTGCCTACGCCGGAGGGATATTCAGGTGAGCCCGAATACTGTAGGGCTTTTCTCACGAGATGTTCCATGCATTTCGCATTGCAGCCACGGACTTTTCACAGTGAACAATCCAAGGTGGCATTTGTACTAACTTTACTGTCAGGTAAAGCAGCGCTCTGGGGAACGGCGGTGTGGGAGAACCAAGACTACTGTTGCTCCTCGTTCCAGGCACTCTCCACAGAGATCAGAAGAGTATTCGATCGGGCGGTAGCGGGTAAGGAGGCGGCCAGATTACTCGCGGATCTACGCCAAGGAGATGGCTCGGTGTCGGATTACTCGATCCGTTTCCGCACCCTGGCCGCAGAGTGCCATTGGAACGAGGAGGCGCAGTGGGACATGTTCCTGCATGGGCTGGCTGACCGCGTTCAGAAGGAGATATACATCTTGGACCTTCCTAAATCTCTCAATGAACTGGTGGAGCTGGCGATGAGGGTCGATTCACGCCTTAACCGTGTGACTCAGCGGGTTCGCTCCAGTCGTTTCCAGCCATATCCGGAGGATGCACGGACCAGTGACGGGAACGCGGTCAGCCCAGTTTCCGACCATGAGCCCATGCAGGTGGGGAGAGCTCGGCTTTCCCGGGAGGAGAGGGAAAGGCGGAGGTCCCAAGGACTCTGCCTTTACTGTGGTAAAGCTGGCCACTTTCTCTACTCTTGCCCGGTAAAAGAGCAAGCCCGATAGTAAGCATGAGGCTACTATCGGGTGGGATCTCCGCCGAGAAGTCCTCATCTACATCATCGACCCTCCTCCCGGTAAGACTGAGATGGGCAACCTCCACACACACCACTCAAGCATTACTGGACTCGGGAGCAGAGCGTAATTTTATGGATTTCAGTTTCGCTGTCAAACTCAAGATTCCCATCATTTCTCTCACGCACAAGATATCTGTCAACGCACTCAATGGACAGGACCTTCCCAGAATTTCGCACTCCACTGAACCTCTCACACTCATCACATCGGGCAATCACACTGAACATATTTCTTTTCTTCTTATGGACTCACCACTAGCACCGGTGGTTCTAGGGCACCCATGGCTCACCAAACACAACCCCCGTGTCGACTGGCAGAACAATTTCATTTCCTCTTGGAGTAATCACTGTCATGAGTCATGTTTGGTGTCTGCTTGTCCTTCTGTGTCTAGTTCTGTGTTTCAGAGGGAGGCAGTGGATTTGTCTAACGTGCCCGCAGAGTACCTCGACCTGAAGGAGGTGTTCAGTAAGTCTCGTGCTGCTTCTCTCCCTCCGCATCGTCCCTATGACTGTGCTATAGATTTACTGCCAGGTAAGTCTCCGTCTAAGGGCAAACTTTACTCTCTTTCTGTTCCTGAGAGGGAGGCCATGGAGAAATATATTTCTGATTCTTTAGACTCTGGGTTCATCCAGCCTTCCTCTTCTCCTGCGGGGGCGGGGTTCTTTTTTGTTGGGAAGAAGGATGGTTCTCTGCGACCTTGTATTGATTACCGAGAGTTGAACAACATCACGGTGAAGAATACTTATCCTTTACCGTTGATGTCTTCAGCTTTCGAGAGGTTGCAGGGAGCATCCATTTTCACAAAATTGGACTTACGTAATGCTTATCATTTGGTCCGCATCAGGAAGGGGGATGAATGGAAAACCGCGTTCAATACCCCCAGGGGGCACTTTGAATACTTGGTTATGCCTTTCGGCCTTTCCAACTCCCCAGCGGTTTTCCAAGCACTCGTCAATGACGTGTTGAGAGATATGGTCGATCAGTTCATATATGT